TGCACCTATTTAAGTAGTGATGAACGTTGGTTACCTGCTATTTGTGGTTAGTTTGAATGACTAAAACTGAAGGTTGATGGTGTAAGGACGTCACGTTACTCTGCGATTTCGAACTCCTGGGCACATCCTTTGAGGTGAAGGTGTCATAGAAAGGGTTCGCCTATATAGAGAGACTAGCGCCGAAAACTGAGCTTAGTTGCTCAGGAGATCGGGCGAATTTTAATCAGACTGGAATGTGAAGTGTTCAACTTCCTGGCTGTCGGCTTTTAACGGTGTAGTTTGTATTTCTAACAGCTACCCTTGCGCCGAAGGCCTTTCTTGGTCTCACCATCAGTGACCATAATCGGGGGTTACTTGCATACCGCACGAATACCCCGTCGTCCGATTGACGAAATCGCCCATAGGATGCTGAACATTCGTCGAAGAGCGCGCCCGGCCATTTATTTGTCAGCTTTTGAAAGGGTTGAGATCGTGAATCTAATCTGACTGGACGATTTCTCAGAAAATCTGTTGCTCCTCAAAGTGTGGTCAGCATGGATGCACGCAAATTCCGATAAGCAAAGATGAATTAAACAATGGTTGTGGATTGGCAAACTTGTCACATTGATTCATAATTTCGTAATTCCCAATCGAAGAGAATCTAATTTGACCATATCCTTCCCGCCATTGGATATATTCCAGGTGGGTCTACTGGTGGTGATGACCACAACACAAATCATAAGGTATATGCACTAATAAAGGATTTTAGGATATTTGGTAATGCTGAGATGCCACACGTATAAAAATGAATACAATGCAAAATGGGAGCAGGTCAAAAGAGGAACTTATCGTCTGTGGGAATTCCCTGGTGAACTTTCGGACGGCGGGAACGTGTTTTCTCCACAGCATGGCTGCTACACGTGTCCCATAATTTTCTGTGGTTTTGTGGAAAGCGGTTGACTTCCTGCAAACTGCGCGCGCGAGTCTGTGGATCGGACCGTGTTTTATGGCTATTCATTGTATGCAGTGTGAAGAGAATGTTGTCCCGTCGCGTTTTATACTTGCACGAACATGAATACAACTTGAGCTGATGTGGTTGAATCTTGTAAGCCTTCATGGCGCGTGACGAAAAGGGTGGCCGTGTGAAAGAAAACAGGTGAGAAGTTGTAGTGTACACGTTGTCGGCTAAGGCTGAAAGTAGAACCGGGATTATCACGTGGTTTGAGTGTTTGTGACGACTGACCCGATAGGTGACTTTTACAGGCCTCCCTCAGTTCTTAGAGCCAGAGTAGCTGGTGTTGACTAATTGAGACACATCGTGAAGTCTCTTTGAAAATGGTCTTTCGTTTTGTGAGCACTAGGCAACCAGATTAATTTCTGACATTCCATCCGAATTAAAGTGAGCCTCGTGATGTGGGTAGTTCACTGTTCAACTAGCTAAGTTTTCGAAAACCGGGTACATTGACCGCTTATCTGATAGCAGTTTTGTACGCCAACGTCCAGATGTATGAAGGCCCCAGTCATGGTTGATTAACACGGCCTTTCTAATCAGAGTTTTGGAGTGTCCCATGGACAGATATAAAAACGGAAATCACTAATCGTATCGTTTAGCACAGCATCAATTTGGTGTTATTTAATCGCAGAGCCTGGAATGTACTCTCTCTTTTCGCTCGGCTCAGCAATGTGACACAGATCCGTTAGACGAGGTGGAATAATCTCATTTGCGCTGTGAACTAAAACACACAGGAAAAATTAGTTACCGAAACTTATCTTTGATCAATACTCGATCGATCAGTAGATTTCGTTTGGCTTCATAGGCAGCCTACCAAGCAAGGGCTATATCCTTATGGCATTTGCGGAAATAAAACCTCCGACAGAACCTTATTCCCGCATTATTCATAACATGATTCCTCAACTTTTGAGAGTCTTTTGAGTCCCTCCGTGATAAAGTAGTATACAGCTGTGGTGCGTGCCCCAAGCGAGAAAATCTAGCGTTCGTTCGTGTTCAATGGCTGCGCGTACATCCAACGGGCGAGGATCCTGTGGTGGGATCTTGTAGGAGAACCAGAGGTAGCAGACAGTGTTGCTGAAATGATTCAGGCCTGCTTCCGGTGAACACAACTCAAATAAATGTACACCCAGTTGTTGGGTTTGTGTCGGTAGCTCCGGTCATTTGTTTCGGCCTCCTCACGTCCAGCGGCGCTGAATTTGTAAACGGCTGTGACTAAGCTATGTGCGAAGCAAAACCGCGGAGCAAGAAGCTCAACCAGTGGACCCAAAAATTGCATGATCTGAGTTGTTTACTTCACCGCACACATGCTGGTTGTATTTTTCCACCGGAATAACGGGTCGTGTATGTGTAACTTCCGACTATTTTAACCACTCAGAAGGTCCGCAAATCATTGTTCTCTAATATAAAATTGAAGAGGAAGGATGAAACTCCAAGTAGTTTGCGAATCTTGGCTCACATGCGAACATAACCGCAAGTTGAATCGGTATGGTATCACTATTAATTCAAAAACATTGGGTCGGCTGATTTCTCGCTTGTCGCCAAAAACTTTGCCTTATTTTTGACATACTACCAATACTTCCGACAAAAATTCTCATAACAAATTAGTTGATATTACGCGCGCCTATAAAAGTCCAAGGACTCTGCACACAGTTCCAATATGACGGACAATGACATATCATCTGTGTTTTGGAGCAACTGAGGCTATAAAAGAAATGTGGTCACGATTCCTGTGTAGTATGACTGCCTCAGCGGAAGTCAAATGGATGGATTACTTGCAATTAAATAAAGTACAAATAAGCGAAATACACGACCAGTCCGGGCAAAACATGATATGTTAAGTTTCATGCGACTTCCTCAATCTTGTGTCCAGTATTGTGAGAAGCGCAAGACTTCATATACATTAGTTAACCTGCAGCGTAGGGAAACAAAATATCAATTTATATTTAGGTTGTCTCGGAAATTCCGATTTGGTCAAACATCGCACTCCTGCATAGAGTGTCTCAGTCAACCTCAGGAGCAGCAACGCTTAGGTGATTTATATCTGCAACACAGGTTAAACCACGATTAGTTTGCCCACCGTGAAGAATAAATTAACTCGTCACTGACCAGAATTGTGAAATGCAGTATAATTTACAGTCTAGTTAACAGAGACCAGTAAACACGAAAAAATTATTTGGGGTCAACCGTTAGGACTTAATTAATATGCAAATGAGAGTATTTGTATCTATCAGGAATGTCCGATTCCTGAAGGTAACCTAAAAATGATCGGAATGCACTGAGACCCTTAAAATCCATCAAAATCGGAAGGTGTGGACCGGCAAGCATCTCTAGACCAGTCAATATTTCAATCAATTCAGCAAACGTCCATGGACGATCAGGCACGCCACAGAAGCACGACGGAAAGTGAGTTGAGTTCAGGTATTTCACATAAGTGTGATCAATTTTGATGGGTGTTCACCAAGCATCTATCAGACTGCCTGGATCGATGCCAGAAAGGGTCCTTTAAATAGCGCGAGGCCGTTGCAACCTTTGCACTCGGACGCAAACGCTGGCATAAATAACGTATATTGTGTACCCTTATCGGTGAGTTCCCCTGGCGCCTGGCACATGAGTGGCGAAATCCGTTTGATATAACGGTATCATTTTATTTAATTCACTCCGACATTTACTCAAAAACGAGGTATGGTTGAAGAGTTCCACCAGTTGGTTGCGAAAACTTGCTTTAATCGATCTTTACTTTCGTGTAACCGAAGTAACCGGATTGCCATCTCGGTTGGGGTGTTGTTTGATACCAGTCTCTGATGTTTTGAGTGCCATAGGGCGTCAGTGGATTGGCGGAAACGAATTCCTTAAGACAAAAGGAAATGTTACAAATACTGCTCATATAAAGTCACAACACGAAAAGTTAACGGGACGGGAAATCCACGATGCTTAGCTTGCCGATTGCCAATTCCTTCATTCCTTACCATTAAGCGAATGGCGTCGAATTCCGTGCTGGTCTTATGTAGTGGTCTTCCACCACCAAGCTCCAAACACCATCTAGTTCAGCGCAGTGTAGAACTGTTTGTATACTGTAGTCTTCATTTCATTCCATCGTAGCCTGTGGGTAGACAGCTCTAGTAAAATTCTGAAGGACTGTCCAGTACGGAATGAATTTTGTACATTACTCCCAAGATAGACATCTGTGGAAGTTTTAAAACAATCGTCAAACCGCATCTACTTAGTAGCGTTGATTGCTCTGCGATTTCCCATGAACCTTGTTTCAATTGAGCATCACATTGCACGCATATCTAATGTAACCCAGGAAGGTGAGATTTCTAATGAGTTGCTGAAGCTTTTTCCGCTTTTTTCTGGGTAGCAGGTCATTTCATTTAAAGACATACAGATTTTGTTGTGTAGCGACCCCGTGGCCAGGCGGCCATTTGTGCAGCACGGCGTTTTCTTGGTCATTTGCTAAGCATGTATTCTTCATTCGCTGGTGATCGGTCTCTTCGTTGTGCCGATTTCTGTGTGGTACTGCGCATTGGTTGTATCCGAATCTTCTTTCGAGTTAAGGGATAATGATTCTCGACGAGATTCACGTGGCCTAGAGTCGTTTCCGTCCCGTACCACACTCATGAACATCAGCCAGTTGATGCACATGATACAACAAAATCGGGTTAACTAAGTGATCAGAGGATAACCGCCAAAACAGATAATTCCAAAAAACTCCTTACCAGTCTGATTGTTCAACCAACTGACGCCTATCAAGCAACCTCAACTAAGAATCCGATGAAGTTTTGAAACACTGAAGCATTAAACATTGAAATTTCAACAGAGTGTTTTTGCATCTATCCTGTAATAGTGCGTCACACTTATGGAGGTGCCTTGATGAGTTCACAAGGCCTGAAAATCCCGACAATTTTGCCTGAATGCTCTCAGTTTTTTACCGAATGATCTCTCAATGGCCAGCTTGATGGAACAGCACAACCCATGCATCATGATGATGGCAAAACACGATGGGGACCAGCAGCAATTCATTTTATTTTGGCGAAATAACAACACGGTGTGTGTCCGTTAGGAACAGACGTTGTGGACAGACTCAATGAGGATGTCGGCTTTGTATCCGGCTTTGCACAACTCCATTAAATGACGTGTGTGCTGTGCCACCTCAGGAACCTGAAGACAGATAGATAACAGGATCTCAGCTGGGAAAACTGAAGGTTCAAAACGCATAGGAATGACTTAGTTTCCCACATGTCGAGTACACGTTTATAATAATCACTAAGAATGCTTTTAAAAGATCAGAAAATTGCGTTCACACAAGGTTGATCCTAAAGTCCACCAACAGAATTCAGCTTTTTAGAGAAAGTGGTCATTATGCTAAACAATGGGGAGGATTGTCAGTGAGGCACACCGAATTTCAAGCGGATGATGGGTCAGTGATTGGATCGTAGGTATCAGCATATCTGAATTCTGGACATTTCCAGCCGCTTTGATGTAAACTTACAAAATGCTTACTGAGGGCAGTTGAAATGTTCCAGTTAAGTAGCAAATTGGTGAAAATGTGTAAACTCTAGGGAAAAAATACGTAGGGAAACCATATCCGCCTATATCGCCCTTCTTGAGGCTCATCAGGCAGTCGCCGTTCCAGAGCTTTTTTCAAAATCGTGTTCTACTTGAGACCGAATTGCACGGATTAATTTGTTGATAGTCCACTGAAGTTACGCAAGTTAGGCATTCGTACAGGGAACATCTTATGATGTTTTTCGGTTAAGCATCCACCGCAATTAAATCAAATCGTAATAAATCACACCAACAAGTAGAACGCCTGTGTATTTCGTTGCGCATCCTCCGAACCGAATGGTGTTTTCGGTACAAAAAACGCCTACACCAAGGAAGTACTACCTCAGATTTTCTCACATTCCCAATTATCGTTGTGTGAATATAGTGGTCAGCAATTTTGTCGTTGATGCGTGTTCGTAAGTCAGGCATTTTTGGAGGTTCAAGGTTCCTCCGGTGAACACTCATGTGAGAATAAACTCTGCACGAAGACAACACATGATTCACCGATAATTAGTCCAGCCATTGCTCCGGAAGGGCAGAGTGGATAGCAACTGACCAAAAGCATGTTCCTTTAATAGACCTTAAGTCGTTTGATAAAAGCAAATGTTACACCTCATAACAAATGCTTCATAATCGGAGAGAACCAACGACGCTTCGATGCCGTTAGTGAAGCTATTGAACAAATTCTGGAATAAATAGTCATATGATATGCTACTCGGACAGATGTGACGTTAATGAACCGTGTTGCTGGGTGTTTGCACTTGATCAATTTTGAACAATGGAATTACCCGCAGAATTACTCATCTACGAAAACGTGTAAAAGAGGAAAGTACCGTCAGTCCAGCGGGTTGGACCTTGGTAAGTACAACATCGCCAGCAGCGGGCATCCGTGACCTTTCAAGAAAACCACTTACAGGTGGAATCCAACGGGTTTCTGTAACAATGGCTGGTCCGGTTGATTAAACTGACACGATTTATACCGGAGAACGGAGAATAGCCAGAGATTGAGTCAAAAGTCGTTTGAAAGTGGTTGCCAAAACATTGGAACCACGACACACAATGGAAGTGAAACAGACGGAATCATATGAACCGACCCGAGTTCATTAGTTATGAGTATCATCCTGAGCTTGTCCTGTATCGTTTTTCTGCACCGATGGTTCCATTATTCTGTTGGTTGGATCCCAATTTGTTCGGTAAATGTTCTTCAAAAATGTGCGTTTTGAACCACAATTTCAGCCACAATTGTTGATCAAATCTTGCTTCAATATATTCCTTAGCGGCGTTGAACTCACGGATCATTCGGGGTCGAGGAACCCCCTCAACAAGACTGACCCGGGTCTTTTCCAATCTCAGTCCATCCACTTTTCGTGGTGGCTGTTTTGTACCGCGTAGAAGTCAGTTCTCAGTGGGTTAACAAATTCCAGTGACGTCAAGAGGCTAGCCAGAGGAGCTGGAAAACTGAACTTAGATTAACTGAACTGAACTGAACTGAATTGAACTGAACTGAACTGAACTGAACTGAATTTGAGTAGAACATAAGGTTGACGCAAACTCGAAGACTGCAACTTGATGAGCCCGAAGAAGAGCGAACAAATTCGTGGGCTACCGAAGGGTTTTCAGCAAGACTTTGAGTAGTTTCCTTTCTGAGTATAACTTATTTGGAGTGAACTGAACTGATCTCAACTGAACTGAACTCATGCAGCTTCACCTAGCTCCTGTCGATGTTGGTATATCCATATGCACCTTGCAAAGAATAGGAGTTCCTGTTTCATAACAGCTGGCACTGTTTAAAATTCCGAACTGCCTAAATCACTTTCTACCTTCCATGATTCGCTTTTTTGATAACCAATTTGGACATTACTGGCTCCGGAAATAGCCCACAAGTTGTTGAACAAACGAACACGATGTTGCTGGATTGAGGTCCAATTTCAAGAATAGAATCAGGACGCTAGTTATGTGAGTACCGGATTTGCCCCGAAAGTTCCCACCGTAAAGGTCGTTTGCCAGCGGCTCATCTGGACATACTTCTGGGAGTTAGGATCGCCTTGCGTGACGCCAGGGGTGAAAGCATTTGCTAGTAGTGTAGGCAAGCCCATGTTTTCGTACCTCAGGACGTCAACCTACCTGCTGAATTGTGAAGCAGTGCGTCCGGAATTGATCGAATACTGCCTTAAAACACATGAGCTCATCAGTTTTGGACATGTCTTTCAGAGTTGGCTTAGGTTGGGTCTTCACGTCCCTGACGATGTCGCGAATCGTTTCCTTGACGATGTGGCCAAGCTGAAGGAAGCGGGAAGAGTGTTTATGATGGATTATATGTGGACTATAAAAGGCCATTAGCACGCCAAGATGAACCACGTTGGATTTATGGGCAGTATCATGAAACGATTACCAAATTAGGGACCGATTACGGGTCAGTTGATCCCATGAATTCGTAACACCTATTCTCTAATACACAACTCGAGTCTTACCCAATGTAACCTTCTATCGTGCTTTCAGTCGTTAGTTGGTGATCAGTGGAATAAAAAAATTAAAATACAAACCTGACTTGCACGGTGCAGCTTCCGCCGAGCGGTTTCATGTTGTTCATGGGTTGCAGCCTCCATCAAGCGTCGAGACTTCGAAAACAAATGCGCCTGCAAAGAGGGTTTTCTATCTACAGCGTTTGGCTGGAACAAAAAACCAATTGGGAAACATTTATTAACAACAGGTGCTCTTACAATGCCGAATGAAAGAATTGTCTTCCTAGACTATTCAGTGTTAAGATGAAACTACATAATTCCACTCGGTTTCCATAGTTACGCAAAGTGTCGCGGAAATTCAGTCGCCCGTAAGTCATTTTGGGTAGGCAGAACAGCAATAAACTTTTCATATATTTTGCTAAACATTTGGAACGGGATCTCAACTATCGTGTGTTATTTTATGCCGTGAACAAATCCAACCAATATTCTTAATGAGACAACGCGCTTTGGCAGAAATAGGTAGCTTTTGTGTTCAGCAAGTGATAATGATTAGTGGTAAATACCATGTTCGATCGGGAGGTATAACATAAAATCCACGAATAATTGCAATCAGATAAATGCTTGTCCCTTGGATTGAAAGGTTTTCGACATCAGCCCGATTATCACTGACCATGCTACAGGTAATCATCAGAAGCTCCATGTGTTTGATTTACGATTTGTGTTTATGTAGACTGGCCGCTATCCATCTAATTGCGTGGCTATCTATCTGTTAGTCTGCCAGTCTGTCTGTCAGTCAATTTGTCAACTAGTTTGTCAGTTTGACTGTTT